CATTTGTTTTACTTTTTGAATTTTGTATGAAGCTTAGGTCGCATCTGAAAGGGAGACGCATCATGTGGGGACAATGGAAAAGTTTTTGGTGATTCACTGGTTAATTTTTAGTTGAAGGTTTTTCAAAGTTGACCCGAATTAGAAGACCTTAAAGGTCCTGTTGGCTAATAAATGAAAGGCCGTTTCTCAATTCACAAGAACACGACTACGGACTTGTGTCCTCGCCAAGTATGCTCTTGAGAAGAACACTGGAAAATCTGGGAGAACGGCGGCATGCAGCATAAAAATGGGTCAATTAGAGCAGAAGCGTACTGATGACATCACCAGATGCTCAGCTCGTCTGGAGCTGCATTTATCCTCCTGTTATTAACTGACTCTAGATGATAATAAATTATTACTCTTTTCATTTAGTGATGGAATGATAATGAACACAGTCAGATAAACGCAAATCAAATGAACATTTTGCCAAATAACCAAAAAAACGGCCTGACAGCCAGCGGTCCTTCTCACACGGCTATGCAGAGAAAGGGCTGCTGCAGACGGGCTAGGATTAGACCTGGCTGCCCTGGAGCTCTGCTGGTTGCCTCGGTCCTCTTAACTTAGGAATTTTTTTTAACTTACGCATTAAATAGGTTAATGGGCCACACAGGGACGGTTTAAAGTATAATATTCTCAACTCAAATGGTCTTAAAATTTACTTTTATTGAACAACAGCAACAGAAATAAAATCTTTTAACCTAACACTCTGAGCTCTGTGAGCGCTGCAATGAAAGCTGCTGCTGCAGTGCATGCTGGGACAGCTGCCAATCTCAAGAACAGACAAGTCTGCTCTGATGCATGCTGGGTAAAGAGGGAGGGGCGAGAACAACATCCAGGGATATTGTCTGTTCTCGGTCTCCTGTAGTTGTGAATTGGAACAGTTCTATGGCTAAGGTTGATTACTTTTCACGAGTAAACGAGCTTATGAGAACGCGCAAGTTATTGAAAAACGTCCACAGTGAAGGAGCGTCTTTGATTCCACTCAAAGTTAGCGATTCTCCATTACAGGTACCGCTGGGCCTTCATCCCTGAGGCTTCAGACGATTCAGGGTTGGAGGTGAGACGTCAGGGGACACATCAAAGGGAGTTCAAGCCCTACGTGGTTCGTTTGGTGAAGCTTTTGAGAAAACGAGCAAAGGTATCTCCTCCTGCTTTTTAATTGGACAAATGTAGTTTAAAATCAAACTCTCCATCAGATGAATTTTCCTTTCTTACTTAGTATTTTGTTTTTTTTTTGTTTTTTACCATAGAAAAACCCAGAGGAGGACTGCTCCACTAAAACCTTACCTTGGGAGCCAGGCCACCTGATGCTGACCCTCTACGTTATCCGCAGCATGGAGCAGCTGCTGCCCTTCTTCAACCTGCTCAGCCAGGTGTTCAACAGCAAGGCCAGCTGCCGATCAGGCCTCGCCTACTCCCACAATCCCGCTGATTCTTCCTTCCCCGGAAACAAGGAGGGCCACAAACTGGAGAGCCAGAAGGTGTTCTGGAGCCGAGCTCGCCAGAACATCGAGGAGATGGTGGAGAAAGACTTTCTAGAGGGCCTCATCAAGACATGAGAACCCAGCCGAGGAGGAAGTGGGCATTAAAACATAACTGAACACTAGTGACAAACTCTAACTTGTACATTCATGAACATTATTATGGGATGTGAGGGGGGGTTTTACAGTTTTTTATTTATGACTCTTGAGCTATGGTTATTTAATTTTAATTATTTGTATGTATGGAGCAGCTTTTGACAGGTTTTAACATTTCATCCGAGTCCTTTAGAAGAAATAAAATATGCTGTGCCATTCCATGTGAGGTGACTTAATAAAACAGGTTTCTAATAACAGATACTTTTATCTTTTAATCAGGGCATGCTTTGGTTGCACAGTGGTTAGCCCACACGACCCATGTATGCAGGCCTTAAAGGAATTGTACACCCAAAACATGATTAGCCTTCATTTTCTACTCACCCCCATGCTGAACAACACCCTGGAGTACTTTTTTGATATCTCAAATGCATCTGGAGATCTGGGAGGCTTCTTGCTGTCTGCTGACATTCAAATAATGGAGGACTATGGTGCCCGAGACAGAAAGGTCCATAAAAGTCCACAAAAAACGTGTCAATATTCCTCCATACTGCTCGTCCAATGTATTCCAAGTGTCCTGAGTGGGTAGCATCCAGAATTTACTCGAAACGAAGTCATTTAGAATGTTTTTAGAGCATAAACAGTAGTGTATAGGATTTCCTGAAAGCGCGCACACGCGCGCTCACGACGCTACGGAAGCCGGCAGATCAAACCAGACGAAAGTGCGCATTCAGCGTCTGCTCTTCCAATAATGCAAGCGTAGAAGAAGAAATGTGCTGTTTACCTGTGCAAAGAAAGAAACAACGAAAGAAAAATATCTGAGGACTTCAGTGTTGAGGAAGAGCATGAGTTCTTTGCCGAGCTGAATGCGCTGGTTTGGTCTGCCGGCTTCCGTAGCGTCGTGAGCGCGCGTGTGCGCGCTTCCAGGAAATCCTATACACTACTGTTTATGCTCTAAAAACATTCTAAATGACTTCGTTTCGAGTAAATTCTGGATGCTACCCACTCAGGACACTTGGAATACATTGGACGAGCAGTATGGAGGAATATTGACACGTTTTTTGTGGACTTTTATGGACCTTTCTGTCTCGGGCGCCATAGACCTCCATTATTTGAATGTCAGCAGACAGCAAGAAGCCTCCCAGATCTCCAGATGCATTTGAGATATCAAAAAAGTACTCCAGAGTGTTGTTCAGCATGGGGGTGAGTAGAAAATGAAGGCTAATCATGTTTTGGGTGTACTATTCCTTTAAGACCAATTTTTACTCCTGACGCATAGCCCCCTGCAACCGTCAAATCTGTCTCTGTGCTGTCATTGCATACCTCAAAAAAATCCTGACTACGTGTCAGACGTTTGCAAAGCCACGCCGACGGAAGTGCGCAGACAAAAATCAGCTGTGATTGGTCCTTGGTATGCCTTTCCGGCTGTCTGTGTGGTCGTCCTTCTCGATTCAGTGCCGGGCTGCGCTATTTTTAAAAACGGAGAAAATTTGACAACTACGACGAAAGGTCAATCGAGGAGGTACGATGCCCCGGACAAATTATATGAATAAATATATCCTTTTTGATGTCTAGCAAGTCTAGATCCATCTCGTGATATCTTGCAGACGTACCATTTTAGTTTTGAAAGATAAGCACTCCTGCAGACGCCACCGAATTTCTTGCGAGTTCTAAAATAGGCTCCCCCTTGTGCTTTGGAGGGAAACTGCTGTGCGTCCCTAAAAAATTCCAGACCGACGGTGCAGAAGCATACCAGCAAAACTTGTTCGCGACCAGACCCAAGTGACATTTGATGTGTGCGGTTGCAGAAGTCTAATCGGCCCTTTTGTCTTCGACATGGGCAAGCTGGGCTCGAATCGGGCCTGCTGCCCTTTCCCACATGTGTCTCCTACTGAAAGATTGAATCATCAGCTCTTTATTTCAGCTCTGCAGGAGTTGAGCCCTGTCTCTTTATTGGTTTGCCAGCTTTAATGAGGCAAATAAATGTCAAAATGTGTGAATTTGGGACATTTGTTCTCCGTCTGCCTACTGTTATCATGTTATTGTGCCAAATGAAAATTAGCTTCTTATTCTTTCATTTCCAAATTTGACTTCCCCCAACTGGCGGTTAGGAAAAATCCACAGAAGAGTTGCACCTTCTTATAAGCTGCATGGGGAAAAAAGTAGCGGTTCATAGTCAGCAATTTTAAAGCAATTTATATGTTTGATTTACCAGGTAATCAAAATTAATATGCTGTAATTATCTAACAGGATTTTTTAACATAAAACCTTCAACCTCAATCTGAGGCTCAATCTTTTCCAGTGTGTAATCTCTGCTGTTGGATTATCATTTTGAAAGGGAAAAAAGACTCCATACTTTTGCAGAATTCCTCATTTGTTTTACTTTTTGAATTTTGTATGAAGCTTAGGTCGCATCTGAAAGGGAGACGCATCATGTGGGGACAATGGAAAAGTTTTTGGTGATTCACTGGTTAATTTTTAGTTGAAGGTTTTTCAAAGTTGACCCGAATTAGAAGACCTTAAAGGTCCTGTTGGCTAATAAATGAAAGGCCGTTTCTCAATTCACAAGAACACGACTACGGACTTGTGTCCTCGCCAAGTATGCTCTTGAGAAGAACACTGGAAAATCTGGGAGAACGGCGGCATGCAGCATAAAAATGGGTCAATTAGAGCAGAAGCGTACTGATGACATCACCAGATGCTCAGCTCGTCTGGAGCTGCATTTATCCTCCTGTTATTAACTGACTCTAGATGATAATAAATTATTACTCTTTTCATTTAGTGATGGAATGATAATGAACACAGTCAGATAAACGCAAATCAAATGAACATTTTGCCAAATAACCAAAAAAACGGCCTGACAGCCAGCGGTCCTTCTCACACGGCTATGCAGAGAAAGGGCTGCTGCAGACGGGCTAGGATTAGACCTGGCTGCCCTGGAGCTCTGCTGGTTGCCTCGGTCCTCTTAACTTAGGAATTTTTTTTAACTTACGCATTAAATAGGTTAATGGGCCACACAGGGACGGTTTAAAGTATAATATTCTCAACTCAAATGGTCTTAAAATTTACTTTTATTGAACAACAGCAACAGAAATAAAATCTTTTAACCTAACACTCTGAGCTCTGTGAGCGCTGCAATGAAAGCTGCTGCTGCAGTGCATGCTGGGACAGCTGCCAATCTCAAGAACAGACAAGTCTGCTCTGATGCATGCTGGGTAAAGAGGGAGGGGCGAGAACAACATCCAGGGATATTGTCTGTTCTCGGTCTCCTGTAGTTGTGAATTGGAACAGTTTTATGGCTAAGGTTGATTACTTTTCACGAGTAAACGAGCTTATGAGAACGCGCAAGTTATTGAAAAACGTCCACAGTGAAGGAGCGTCTTTGATTCCACTCAAAGTTAGCGATTCTCCATTACAGGTACCGCTGGGCCTTCATCCCTGAGGCTTCAGACGATTCAGGGTTGGAGGTGAGACGTCAGGGGACACATCAAAGGGAGTTCAAGCCCTACGTGGTTCGTTTGGTGAAGCTTTTGAGAAAACGAGCAAAGGTATCTCCTCCTGCTTTTTAATTGGACAAATGTAGTTTAAAATCAAACTCTCCATCAGATGAATTTTCCTTTCTTACTTAGTATTTTGTTTTTTTTTTGTTTTTTACCATAGAAAAACCCAGAGGAGGACTGCTCCACTAAAACCTTACCTTGGGAGCCAGGCCACCTGATGCTGACCCTCTACGTTATCCGCAGCATGGAGCAGCTGCTGCCCTTCTTCAACCTGCTCAGCCAGGTGTTCAACAGCAAGGCCAGCTGCCGATCAGGCCTCGCCTACTCCCATAATCCCGCTGATTCTTCCTTCCCCGGAAACAAGGAGGGCCACAAACTGGAGAGCCAGAAGGTGTTCTGGAGCCGAGCTCGCCAGAACATCGAGGAGATGGTGGAGAAAGACTTTCTAGAGGGCCTCATCAAGACATGAGAACCCAGCCGAGGAGGAAGTGGGCATTAAAACATAACTGAACACTAGTGACAAACTCTAACTTGTACATTCATGAACATTATTATGGGATGTGAGGGGGGGTTTTACAGTTTTTTATTTATGACTCTTGAGCTATGGTTATTTAATTTTAATTATTTGTATGTATGGAGCAGCTTTTGACAGGTTTTAACATTTCATCCGAGTCCTTTAGAAGAAATAAAATATGCTGTGCCATTCCATGTGAGGTGACTTAATAAAACAGGTTTCTAATAACAGATACTTTTATCTTTTAATCAGGGCATGCTTTGGTTGCACAGTGGTTAGCCCACACGACCCATGTATGCAGGCCTTAAAGGAATTGTACACCCAAAACATGATTAGCCTTCATTTTCTACTCACCCCCATGCTGAACAACACCCTGGAGTACTTTTTTGATATCTCAAATGCATCTGGAGATCTGGGAGGCTTCTTGCTGTCTGCTGACATTCAAATAATTGAGGACTATGGTGCCCGAGACAGAAAGGTCCATAAAAGTCCACAAAAAACGTGTCAATATTCCTCCATACTGCTCGTCCAATGTATTCCAAGTGTCCTGAGTGGGTAGCATCCAGAATTTACTCGAAACGAAGTCATTTAGAATGTTTTTAGAGCATAAACAGTAGTGTATAGGATTTCCTGAAAGCCCACACGCGCGCTCACGACGCTACGGAAGCCGGCAGATCAAACCAGATGAAAGTGCGCATTCAGCGTCTGCTCTTCCAATAATGCAAGCGTAGAAGAAGAAATGTGCTGTTTACCTGTGCAAAGAAAGAAACAACGAAAGAAAAATATCTGAGGACTTCAGTGTTGAGGAAGAGCATGAGTTCTTTGCCGAGCTGAATGCGCTGGTTTGGTCTGCCGGCTTCCGTAGCGTCGTGAGCGCGCGTGTGCGCGCTTCCAGGAAATCCTATACACTACTGTTTATGCTCTAAAAACATTCTAAATGACTTCGTTTCGAGTAAATTCTGGATGCTACCCACTCAGGACACTTGGAATACATTGGACGAGCAGTATGGAGGAATATTGACACGTTTTTTGTGGACTTTTATGGACCTTTCTGTCTCGGGCGCCATAGACCTCCATTATTTGAATGTCAGCAGACAGCAAGAAGCCTCCCAGATCTCCAGATGCATTTGAGATATCAAAAAAGTACTCCAGAGTGTTGTTCAGCATGGGGGTGAGTAGAAAATGAAGGCTAATCATGTTTTGGGTGTACTATTCCTTTAAGACCAATTTTTACTCCTGACGCATAGCCCCTGCAACCGTCAAATCTGTCTCTGTGCTGTCATTGCGTACCTCAAAAAAATCCTGACTACGTGTCAGACGTTTGCAAAGCCACGCCGACGGAAGTGCGCAGACAAAAATCAGCTGTGATTGGTCCTTGGTATGCCTTTCCGGCTGTCTGTGTGGTCGTCCTTCTCGATTCAGTGCCGGGCTGCGCTATTTTTAAAAACGGAGAAAATTTGACAACTACGACGAAAGGTCAATCGAGGAGGTACGATGCCCCGGACAAATTATATGAATAAATATATCCTTTTTGATGTCTAGCAAGTCTAGATCCATCTCGTGATATCTTGCAGACGTACCATTTTAGTTTTGAAAGATAAGCACTCCTGCAGACGCCACCGAATTTCTTGCGAGTTCTAAAATAGGCTCCCCCTTGTGCTTTGGAGGGAAACTGCTGTGCGTCCCTAAAAAATTCCAGACCGACGGTGCAGAAGCATACCAGCAAAACTTGTTCGCGACCAGACCCAAGTGACATTTGATGTGTGCGGTTGCAGAAGTCTAATCGGCCCTTTTGTCTTCGACATGGGCAAGCTGGGCTCGAATCGGGCCTGCTGCCCTTTCCCACATGTGTCTCCTACTGAAAGATTGAATCATCAGCTCTTTATTTCAGCTCTGCAGGAGTTGAGCCCTGTCTCTTTATTGGTTTGCCAGCTTTAATGAGGCAAATAAATGTCAAAATGTGTGAATTTGGGACATTTGTTCTCCGTCTGCCTACTGTTATCATGTTATTGTGCCAAATGAAAATTAGCTTCTTATTCTTTCATTTCCAAATTTGACTTCCCCCAACTGGCGGTTAGGAAAAATCCACAGAAGAGTTGCACCTTCTTATAAGCTGCATGGGGAAAAAAGTAGCGGTTCATAGTCAGCAATTTTAAAGCAATTTATATGTTTGATTTACCAGGTAATCAAAATTAATATGCTGTAATTATCTAACAGGATTTTTTAACATAAAACCTTCAACCTCAATCTGAGGCTCAATCTTTTCCAGTGTGTAATCTCTGCTGTTGGATTATCATTTTGAAAGGGAAAAAAGACTCCATACTTTTGCAGAATTCCTCATTTGTTTTACTTTTTGAATTTTGTATGAAGCTTAGGTCGCATCTGAAAGGGAGACGCATCATGTGGGGACAATGGAAAAGTTTTTGGTGATTCACTGGTTAATTTTTAGTTGAAGGTTTTTCAAAGTTGACCCGAATTAATAATTAAAACTAAAAAAAATTTCTCAAAACAATTTTTGAGACCAGAATCTAACCTTTTAACTTCCTTGAGCATTCTTTTTAAAGATGTTTAATATTTTAATTACCTTATCATCCTCCACAATATTTTAGCTGTACCATCATAAGCTATTTATTTATTTTCCTTTTATATATTATGAGCTAAGTTACAACACCTATTTATTAGCTTAGTTTTATGAAATGTAAATCTCTTTTTGTACCACTATGGGGCAATTCACTCTCTGCATTTTTAACTAATCAACTAATCACCTACCAAGCAACGTAAGGGAGTGGCTGGTAAACCTGGGAGTGACAGTCATTTAAGCCGCTAGTATCCTGGATCTCATTCTTTAAGTCATGATCCAGATTTCATAACAATCTGTAAGAATAGGTATGTAGGAACTGCTACCTTAATCTTAGCATGATGGAGGGAATTCATTACCCAGATGAAACCAGAGGCTATGTTGTTGGGGATTTAAACTCCCTGGTAGAGTCTGGGCTCTCTCTCGGGTCTACCTTGGGAATGACTGGCAGCTGGCTGAGCCCGTGGGCTTGTCTCTGTGGCCCCTTCGTGCCTCAGGACAATAATCTCCTGTTTGCCCTTCTCAAGTGGGTGTGGCGATCCCTATGCCTGCCCTCCTTTTGTTCCTCTAGTCTGGGGTTCCTTACATATCTGGTGATCTGATGTCATGGCCAAAAGTATTGAGAATTACACAGATATATTTTCACATGATCTGCTGCCCTATGGTTTTCATGTGTGTATGTCAGATGTCATCTCATACAGAAATACGAAAGCAATCACAATATGAATAACAAAAGCTTTGAGTTAATGCAGCAAGTCCATATTTGCAGTGTTGACCCCTCTTCTTCAGGACCTCTGCAGTTCTCCCTAGCATGCTCTCAATCAACTTCTGGACCAAATCCTGACTGATAGCAGTCCATTCTTGCAGAATCAATGCTTGTATTTTGTCAGAATTCCTAGGTTTTCGTTTGTCCACCCGTCTCTTGATGATTGACCACAAGTTTTCAATGGGATTAAGATCAGGGGAGTTTCCAGGCCATGGACCCAAAATCTCTATGTTTTGTTCCCTGAGCCAGTTAGATATCACCTTTGCTTTATGGCAAGGTGCTCCATCATGCTGGAAAAGGCATTGTTCATCACCAAACTGCTCTTGGACGGTTGGGAGAAGTTGCTCTCGGAGGACATGCTCCAAGAGTCTCTGCCATACAGTGCGTGCAAATGCGCTCACACCTGCCTGCTGCCATTCCTGAGCAAGCTCCCTCCTTGATGTTCTTGATGATGCGATAGATTGTTGACTGAGGTGCAATCGTTCTAGCTGCGATTTCTTTTTCCTGTTAGGCCATTTTTGTGCAGTGCAATGATGACTGCATGTGTTCCTTTAGAGATAACCATGGTTCACAGAAGAGAAACAATGATGCCAAGCACCAGCCTCTTTTTAAAGTGTCCAGCGGTGTCATTCTTACTTCATCATTACAGATTGATCTCCAGCCATGTCCTCATCACCACCCACACCTGTGTTAATGGAGCAATCACTGAAAGGATGTTAGCTGGTCCTTTTAAGGCAGGGCTGCAATGACGTTGAAATGTGTTTTGGGGGATAAAGTTTATTTTCTAGGCAAATATTGACTTTGCAATTAATTGCTGTTACCCTGATCACTCTTTATAACATTCTGGAGTATATGCAAATTTCTCAGTGGTGAGCTGTGAGGGCCTTCAAAGCCTTCTCTGCTGGCCTAAAATCAATCAGAAACACTAACATACATTCTCAACCTAAACTTTATTTTTCTTCTTTCCAGCTCTATTATTTTATTCAAAACAACTGTCTTAATTTTGTAACGTTTCTCTTGATTACTGAGCTGCTTCCATTACATTTATGTGGTCTCTGACATCCACTCTCTGCCATTTTCTCCACATCTCCCATACCTTTATGGCTCTTTGGCCATTCTTTGCCTCCCATTCTACATTTAGAAATTCTAGGAACCACTGCAGATTGAGAACGAAGTGACTGTTTGGAACACCAGAAACAATCAGATTTCTAATATAAGATGGAACTTGGTTATTTAGGGCTTTATAGGTGACGAGGTGGATTTTGAATTCTATTCTTGTCATGATTCCTGGCATGAGTGCTAGTTTCCACTCAGCCTCCATCAGATTTTCCCTCTTATCTAACTGTATAACCAGCTCTCAGACCAGTGACTAGTGTCAGCACTGCAAAAACAATCCAGAAATAAGTAAAAAATGGCTTAAATTAAGTATATTTAGCCTTAATTTGAGCAGGTAAATAAGATGATTTGCCAATGGAATGAGTATTTTCACTCTTAAAATAAGATAGTTAGATAATATTTACTTGAAATAAGACGATAAAATATTTTTTTCTTATTTTAAAAGGAAATTGTCTTGTTCCATTGGCAAAGTGTCTTATCTCCTCAAATCAAGGAAAAACACACTTATTTTAAGAAAAAATAACTTATTGAGATTTATATTTTTTGCAGTGGATTATTACGAGTATTCCTGTAAACCTGCCTGCCTGACCCCTGTTGATCATGTCCTGGCCCCTGTACTGAAGACAAAATACTTAAAAGAAATTCTTATGATGATGCGTTGGAACAGACATGGTTACTGATAGGTCCTTTGGATCTATTTCATTCTTTTTCTTTAAAAACCTGTCTTAGTGTCTTTTGGATCTCTGACCTGTATTCTGAGTTCTAATTGC